AAAACTTCACTTTAAGAAAAACGTCCTTGTTTTATAACCTTTAATCACATATTAATTAAGTCTAGGTTTATTGTGAGAGGCGAAATAAGTTGGGATTAACGTCAAGATGAATAAAAAAATGAGATGTTTAGTTACTCTGTCACCAAAAACATTTCAGAAAAAATGAGAAAAATAAATTATTTCAAAGCTTTAATTTTTTTTTCCAAGATATGAAAATGGTATGTATTATGTATTATTATAAACATAACTGTATAAATACACATTTTATTTTTAAAAACAATTAAAAATAATGATTTTTACTAAACATTTATCATCTCAAACGATAAAGAAACTCTGGTTTTTATCCAGAATTCTATTGTAGGAATTGATCGGTATATATAAGTGACGAAGTGAATGTTCCTAATCCTATTGTTACGAAAATAATTTAAGCGATTCGTACGTTTCTTTATATTAAACGCACTAACGGATCCAGGATTTAATTTTGGGAGAGGGAGGGGTTTCAGCACGAAAGATATTTTTTTTGTATGTATATATTAGGATAACTCCTTCGGAAGAAAGGAAGAAAAAACTAACTACCTTTATGAAATGGTGTTTAAGTGATTCTTGAAGTCCAATTAAATGTAATTAGACGAATAATAATACTTTTAAAGATAATTTTTTCCATAAAACATGGTTATATTTTACCATTTTGGGGGTGCTTCAGCCCGAAAGCTCCCTCCCCCTTCCTCCCTCCTCCGTAGATCCGCCTGTGATTAAACGTAAATATTAGGATTAGAAACATTTAGTAGGTCATTTATTAGTAGGAAATTACAAAGATTTCTATAACAGGAATTTATTTTAAAAAACTCATTGATAATATTGTTGTGCGTTTCATTGATTTTTATTGTAATACGCAGGGATAAAACGTACCTTCTCAGTTCCATTATCACTTTAGATATTAAAAATTCGAAACTCCATATAACATTTTTTTTTTATAAATAGAAAATATATTTATGAATTCGTGTTCATTAAAGCACATCTCAAGATATAGAAGGAAAAAAGTAAAGCTTTACAATAACTTATTGTAGTCATATTTGCTGAAAACGCGGGTTACTATATAATCTCAACTTATTTCCTAATGAACATCAATAATACTTAATTTAAACTCTTCAAGAAACACTTCATATGGACTTAAAGCTTATTAAGCAAGGAAGTTTTTCTGAAAGTGAGGTATCTGTAGTATAGTTGGATGGTGATAAACAACATCGAATAATACATGATTTTTTTAAAAACAAAAATTAACTCAGTCAATCCGTTCAAAAGTACAATTTAAATGGGTATAGCAATGATAAACTCTATTTTCACTTCATAAGAATTTTTTCTGGTTAATATATATATATATATATATATATATATATATATATATATATATATATATATATATATATATATATATATATATACATATATAGTTATATTTAGTAAAGTTAGATAAATACGATTTTATTGAGACTGTATGATTTATTGCATAAATACCATGCATCAAATAATTTTTTAACTGATGTTATTTATAGTTGGGGTTGAAATAGAAGCAGGATGCAAGGACTACTTATGGTATGTAGGTATGTAGCCGTCCTCTATAGTCGCTTGTTGCGTTATTAATTTCACTTCTTGTCATCCAAATAACATTGACCAGGCCTCACGAGTGTAGTTCCGACACATGTTGAACCTCTTCCAGACATGGAATTTCTTCCGCTTAACTTTTTTTCCCCGCATTCTCTTATAAGAACACCATAGTGAACATTTTTTGTATATGTTTGATAATTAACGAGAATAAAAAAAAATAATATATAAATATATATGTATATAGTTAAAAAAGATAAAATCCACTATTAATTTTATGAATAGCATTTTCATGTAGTACCAACGGTTGAGGAGTTATAGCATATTGATTGCTTGCTTATTTAACAAGAAATATCAGTTTTCGTGGACTTTTTCCTCAAAACTCATAATCTATGCATCTCTGGATGAAATTTATTATAAACAATTTGAAAGCGAACTAAATTTCCTATGTACTTCATGTAATGTGTTAATGTGTAAAAAAGTTAAGCAGCTGTTAAAGCACACGGAATCGAAGACATGTTTCACTGGAAATATCTGCGCACTCAACTAAATATCTTTTTAACTTGTCAATGCTTTTAATTTGGCAAATTTAACTGTATTTATAACAGAACTAGGGTTCATAAAAAAATCACATTGTTTTTTTTATATCCTGTTATTATGAGAGGACCTAAATGCGCTTCAGTGGTCCAACGATATTTCGCCTACTGGCATATTACGACTCTACATAAGCTTGAATTAAATTGAAAGTGCATCAAAATTCTTATTGAACTCGGATATAATCGTTAATATAGAAAAAATTGAAAAGCCATTAGAACGCTCGGACTTTGAAACGCGTTTCGGTTCTTAATTTTTTTATTATTATGAATGTTGATGTATCTCTATTCGGAAATGACTGCCGTAATCTGCAGTTTAACCTCAAGATCCTTCAAGCTGAGCTGAGAAATATAAACATGGAAATTAACATCTCTAAAACAAAATTTATGAGGATTGGGAGAAGAAGCGATCGAGGAGACCGGATCGTTCGGCTGGATGGAATCCGCCTGGAGCAAGTAGTGGATTTTAAATACCTATGTACTCACTTCAACGAGTACGGATGGGTTGATGTACACATAAAGGAAAGGATCAAGACTGTTGGAAAATGCTTCTTGCCCTCAAGACAGGCCTCTTGGACAAGAAGGAAGTCTCATAGGCCACTAAGAAGATTGTATTCAAGTATAACTTCCTCCCTATATCAACATATGCAAGCGAGTCTTGGACCCTCACTTCCAAGCACAAATGCAAAATACAAGCAATGAAAATGCGGTATTTAAGAAAAATGGAGGGGAAACAAGAAGAGATCGCGTGAGGATTGTGACCATAAGAGCAAATCTGGACCTTAGGCCTGCAGAAGAAATAATCCAAGAGAACCGACTCAGGTGGTTTGGACGTGTATCGAGAATGACTAAAAGTAGAATTGCCTGGGCTACCTAAGATGTCAGAGTGGAGAGAAGGCGGTCACTGGAAAGATCAAGAAAAAGATGGGAAGATGAAATCAAAGAAGCCTATGATAGGAGGGGAATGGACTGGAGTAGGAGAAGGCAACTAACTGAAGACAGAGATTCTTTGGTCAAGCTCTATAAGAAGGAACAAGAAAAAAAAATCCTCATTGCGAAGCGATTTGTGAATTATTAATTTAATTTAATGTTCAAATTATATGTTTGATTAATAAAAAAATACAACTCAGTTGTAAAACAGAAGTAATAAAAAAATATAATGCGCGCATCACACGACTTTGACTTACCACCCTTTTCTTAGCAGAAATAAGTATTTTCGGACAAAGATGAATAAAAATTATAGACGCTTTATTTATTTACATTTGATTGTGGATATTTTTATTTGTTTAATTACCCTTATACCTAGTCCTGTCATAAATATTGCTACAAGGACATAAATACACATTTCATCAGAAAAATCAATTACTTTAAAAACTTTATTAGTTAATAAAATGTATATCTACAGAGAGTAAAACAAAAAAGAAATTACTCAAAATTTCCTCCTTTCGCATTAACGCAGGCATTTAATCTTCTCGGCCAGACATGAATAGCAGCACGCAGCACTTCTTGAGGAAAGCGCGTGCTCCGTGGCATGCCATCCTCTCCAGTTCGGATGAAAGCCGATAATCTAATGAGTTGAGATCAGGGCTTTCTCAGGACCGATCCGAGGCATTTTTCTTCAATTGTAAAAATTTTCTCATAGCTAAACAAATTCTTTCGATGAAGACCATTGTTGTAACGGCCAAGGAACACTTTGCATCTATCCACTCTAATTTTTTTTAGGGAAGTAGTTAGCCTTTGACCTGTCATACTTCGAAATGCACCTACCCTAAGGTCACTTTTTATCTGACAGAGATTCCCATTTCCCGAGACATGAGTTGTTGTTGGAATTTCTTCGAGCCGGCACTGCTCTCATTACATTTGCTGCTCTCACAGTGCGGGGACGGCTCGGGCGAGACCCGTCACATACAGATAAAGTCTCATTATTTATAGCGCGGTAAACGAAACCAAAGGTTTCAAAGTGTTGAAAATCTCTGACCTACATTTACAGATATTCGGTTCTCTTTATCATCCCACCCCATGATAACTGAGTGAAAGAAAAATACAAACTAATTGGGATTATTATCCAGACATGCAAAGAAAATAGCCTGATAGAGATTAGAATTGTCTAAGTAATAACTAAAGATGTAAACAAAGTTCAACTTTTGTGACACTATTTATGGCAGAACTAGGTATGTACAAATTTTAATTCTTATATAGCTGTAATCTATACAATTAAATATTAAATAATACCAACGATAGCATTTTAGAAAACATTTGTATATGTACAAAACATTATCGGATTCCGTATTATATTAAGCTCAGGTTACTTATGGATGCCTGTTCTAATCTTTCGGGCGAGCTTGGGCCTGTTCGTATTCTTTTGGTTCCTGCATTAAAACTATTCTCTGTTATGATCTCTTATTTCTCCTTCAGTTAAATACCAAATTCTTTCATATTTGATATTTAACTACTTTTTATGTCAAAGATTAATGTTAAATAATTAATTATTTCAAATAATAAAAATTAAAGGTACTTTAGAGGAAGCTAATATTGAAAATTAGCCATTTAAGCTCTGTCATAGAACATCAATGAGATTCAAACCTACATTATATTGATAAAACACACACATCACACACTCAGACAATTTTGTGGGACTTGGTTATGTGGACTCAGGGGGACCTCAAAATTGTATTTTCGTTGAAAACTCAGATTCAAAATTTTCACTATCGCAATATTTATCCTTAGTATATATTATATATATATATATACATATATATATATATATATATATAGGTAAGAGAAAGTAAAAATTAAGGTACTTACATTGAATACACTGAGTATTGTTATAGGTGGCGTAGTAGGGAAGGCAAGCGCAGACGCCATGGTTGCACCTGCTGTTCTGGGTCGTGCAGTCTTGGTCAATCTCGCAAGCACTGCCCAACCACCCTCCGAATTCAGCAGAAACCTATAAATACAAATGGAATTTTAGCAATTGTTTTTTGGCAACATTAGTAGCGATTAACAATTGGGTATGAAGTTAATTGAAGAGAACACAAACAAAAAAGAGACTAAAAATTACAAAAATTAGGTTTTAAGTATCCCAATTTTCTGTAAACTATTCGTCAATTCTGGTACCGTCAGGTATGTGTGAATCAAATGCAGTATATTGCATAAAAGTAGTAAAAATATACATACCATATTTAACCCATTACTGTAACTTTACAAAGAGGACGAGGAATGTTAGAATATATATTTGGTTTATCTTTATATATTTATAATATCCTTTTGATGTTGATGATGTTTTTTGCATTGTAGATCCCTTTTCCGGCTGTCAGAACCTATGATTTTTTTTATGAAGGAGGTATCGAACGAAAGGAAATTTTACGGAAAAGTGACGAATTATACTCACTTCCTTCCGAAATTCATGGAAAAAATTATGAAGGAAAAAAAAACTTTATTCGTGAATCTCTCAAAAAGTATGCATTGCATTTTCATCGTTATAATTGATTAGTCGACTACGTACCCATCTCTACTCAGTTTTTTCTTCATTATATCCATGGTTATTTGAAAGACTAAATTCCGTACAAGAAAAAAAAGATTTATCGAAATCTATTAGAATTGTATTTCGCACCTCGAAAAAACCTGAAATATGAATTTCCGGGATAATAGGGATAACATATTGTCAAATAATGAAAGAATAACCCAGGCACTTTATATAATTAAAAAGTGGACTTCATTCTATCATAAAATTGATTATATCACAATAAACAGATATAATAATAAAGAAAATCTGGTGTGTCCACTCACAAGACATTCCTACCGATTTCAGAAACGTTTTTATATCTTAAAATATGGTCATGAAAGACGAAAAAAAAAAAATTGAATGAGATTTATCTTCCTAAGAATTGATTATTTCAGTTTTCTTTATAAATTTATTTCCTGAATTTTCCCGGAAATTAAGTATATGTACGAAAATTTTTTTTTTTTTTTTTCTCTTTTTCTCGCCTCTACCCTAAAGGGTCATTGGCGTTTTCTATATAATTTAAACTCTGTTATAGTAGTTGATAATCTTTAAAAATTTAAACAGGATAGAGACTCTCTCTTCATTGTCTTTTAGTATTTCGTTTAGTGTTTTTCCTAGTTTTATTTTTTCTCTGAGCCTTTCGAATTGGGAACATTCTACTAGAAGGTGTTTCACAGTTTGCGGTGTATTGTTACATTTTTCGCATGTAGGAGCTTCCAGGCCTCTTAAAAGATAGCTATGAGTGAACTGGCAGTGCCCAATCCTTAGGCGGCACAGTATAATTTCTTCACGCCTGGATTTTCTGTTGCTAGTGAGCCATTTATCGCAATTGGGTTTCACTTCTTTCAGCTTACAGTCTTTGATCCTCCACTCTTTTTCCCACTCTGCCAGTTGTTTTTTCTTTATTTCGTGTACCCAGTCTTCTAAAGTGATATATTTCACTCTAGTCACTTCCTCTTCTTCTCCTCCACTTCTTGCTAAATGGGCTGCATTGTCAGCTTTTTCATTCCCTAAAATTCCGCAATGAGCTGGTACCCATACCAAGACAACTGTTACTCCTTTATTTTTTACCTCCCACCAGGTGTTGAGAATTTCCCTAATTATGGAGTTTCTAGGATATGGGTTTTCAATGGCAGTTAAAACACTGTATGAGTCCGTCACAACTACCCAGTAGTTCTTTTCAGATTCGCTTATAAAATATAAGGCATTCATGATGGCAGTGGCCTCTCCTGTGAATACTGAACATTCTCCAGGTAATTTAAACAGTAAGTTGTTCTCTTTACTCGCTAAAGCACGTTATCTCCTTCTTTGGATGCATCCGTATATATAAAATCGAAATTTTTATATTGTTCCGTTAACTATAAAAAAGATTTTTGTATTTCGAGTGGATATGCCTTTGCAATTTTAGTCATGGATTTATTAATCAATGGTCTGTCTTTTTTCCAGCGCGGCATTTTTAATTCTTGGACGGGTCTTATAATATTCGTATCCATGTTTATTTTAGTTGTTGCCTTGTAAATCACCTGTTTAAAAATGTTATTTTCTATATCTCTAAGTCCGTTTCTTTCTGCTTCTTCTGAAAATAAATATGGAGTTAATGGGTGGTGGGAAGATGCTCTCAATTTGGCAATGTATTTTAGAGTTAGGTATTCTCTTCGCAAGTTTAAGGATGTTTCTCCAGATTCAGCATAGATGCTGTCGATTGGAGAAGTTCGAAACGCTCCAGTGCATATTCTAAGGGCTGAATTGTGTATGGAATCTAACATCCTCAATATTGTTTTGTTGGATGTATTATATATCTGTGCTCCATAGTCAATTTTGCTGCGTATTATAGACTGATATATTTTTATTAGAGTGTATCTATCGGCACCCCAGCTTGAGTGTGAGAGACGTTTAAGAATTCCGAGTCTTTTTGTGCATTCCTCTCTCAAATATGTGATATGTTGTATCCAATTTAGTCTCTTATCAACTATCATTCCTAGATATTTGTAACTTTCTGTATACTCAATTGAAGTACCCTCTATAAATATTTGTGGATTATTCTGCTGACACTTTCGACTTCTACAAATGTGTAAACATTTAGACTTCGAAGATGATATCTTAAATCCAGTTTCCCTTGTCCAATCTTTTACACTATCCATCACTTCTTGCAGCCTCCACTGTATATAGGGAATAGATTTGCTTCTAGCTGTGATAACAATATCATCGGCAAATAGGAAACATTTGGTCGGGGTCTTGATAATGGACCCTATACTATTAATCGCAAGAAGGAATAGGGTCGAACTAAGAGGAGATCCTTGTGGGGTACCCCTTTGCAAGCGATGGCTTGACGACAAAGTATTTCCTACCCTTACCGAAAATTCCCTATTGGTTAGAAAATTTTTGATATAAGACCACATATTTCCTCCTATTCCTACTTCCTCCAAAATCTTCAACACACGTCCTCTTTCCATTGTGTCATAAGCTTTTTCAAGGTCCAGAAATATTGATATTAAGTGTTCTCCGTGTGAAAAAGCTTCCTGCGCTTCTAAGCTTAATGATAAAAGAGAATCAATAGTTGAACGATTTGGCCTAAAGCCAAATTGATATGGATAAAGGACATTCTTACATTCCAGCATACTAGTCAATCTTATATTGACCATCCTTTCTTGAATTTTGGAAACGCATGAGATAAGGGAAATGGGTCGATAGTCCTTGGGAACGGTGCTCTTTTCTTACGAAAATGTACGAAAATTGAAAGGACGTTAAATAGAAAATTATAGTTTCATCGAAACCGTTATTTGCACTACAGTCTATAGAAAAATGTGTTTTTCACTTATTGCGCAGCCGCTAGTGTGAAGGGAGCATCCGATTTGTGTCACAGGCATAAGTAGCCAAAACAGTACAAAATAAAAAAAGAAGCAACAAAATCGGTCGACTAGTTCCCGAGATAATCTTGGTACCGACAGACAGACAAATACCTGTAAATTCGTTTTTTTTGACTCAGAGGGCTCTGATCTGAAAAAAAAAAAGATCTGTCGAAAATTGCACATCGGAAATTTGACCCGATCCCTAGTATAGATAGGAAAGTAAAAAATTGTTTTCATAAAATTAAGTATTTTGTTTATAATTAGAGACTATATTTTGCATGCCTTGGATTCAAAACTTTATAAAGTATTGTTTCTTGGTCAACGGCTGTGCAAATAGGTGATTTTATCTAGATAACGCTCAACCACCAGGTTTTCCCTCTTTATAAATTAAGAGCTAGAATCCAATATAGGCTGGGAGTGATTCACGAGGTTCTCCGAAATAATTACTTACTATAGCTGGATTATAACCCGGGATCCGGTTTATAGAACACAGAGCTTTACTCACTGAACCACCCCGCTCCTCTTTTTCTCTCTTACAGAAATTGAAAATTTTGTGGATGGAATGGATTTTGCACAATACATTTCCAGTTAATCTTGACGATAATACATCAATTATTTATTCTGTTACCTACCAAAATATTTAATTTAATAACATGAGATAGTGAGGTATTTTTTTGTTCCCTGAAGTTAGCGCGGAATTATCATTTTCGAAACAAACCTTCTTATCTTCTTCCAGTAGTTCATTACTATCTCACGAAACTAAAAATGTGTATTTAATACTTGAAAGGTACTTTTCCTCCAGCTTGCTGAGTGCCCGTTCATCACCCCTGGAATCCTTTCGCCCACTCAAGTACGTGGCCCTAGCAGCCCATGACAACTTCACCATGACTGTTTCCGAATGGCAACCGTTAAGGCCCCTTATTTCCGGGATCCTCTCGTTTCTTGATGTCCTTGCTCACTTTCTCAAAGGTTCCATTAAAATTCCAGGATTTATGTACTCTTCTCTAGCCATTTCATTTGTTTCCCTCATAACTCCAATCCATATTGAATCGACCTTTTGCGATACCTAAATTACTGGTTGTTTTTATTATTTCTTTAACTACTTAATTTTTTTTTATAAGGAATTGAATTGAGAAAAAAAAATCAAAACATTTTTAGCACCAATTAATATAATGCTCAACTCCTGGGAGAGAAAACTGTTGAGAAGAATATGGAGCGGAATCACTGAGAACGGAATTTGGAGAAGGAAAGAAGGGCTACGTGAACTGTTTGGGAAACTCGGTGTTATGGCATTGATAAAAAAAAATACGAATAAGTTGGATGGGACATGTGGAAAGAATGCCAAAGAGGATACTCTATGAGAAGTCGGGTGGCAAAAGAATTAAAGGTCGCCCTCGGATCAGATGGCTGGAGGATGTGGAGGAAGGTCTAAAGCGCCTGCGTGTTAGAAGATGGATGGAGGATGCACGGGACCGTGCAGATGGGTTGGCTGTAGTGGAGGAGGGCCGAGTTCTCGCTGGACCGTAGTGCCATTGCAGTAAATAATGTTAAATAAATAATTAATAGAGTCTGTAAATATCAAATTCATAAATG